CGCATGGAGAGAAGATGTGGTTTTGGAATCAGACTCAGGTATCTGTTGTGGCTATGTACCTTACTAGCTGAATATGACTTTCAAAATAAGAATAAGAATAGTTGTGTAATTAAATGATACGGTGCGTATAAAACACACTCTACCTCTTTTGTGTAAGAGTTTCAAAAGGCTAGCCCATTATTACTGCCATTGTCGCTACTATTCTTAGCGCCATACCAACAACATAGTATGTTGTGTCTTCTTCCTTGGACTCAAAGTTCAGTTAGTGGGTGGTTGTGTATCGAAATTAGCATTTAACTAAAAATATAAAGACCAGTATGAATATCCACCATTAATGTTGTGACTTCCCCTCCTCTTTTTGTCACAGTTGTGTTGCCTTTGAAAGGGGTTTGCTTCTCCCAGACCTCAAGGGAGAAAGGAGCCATACTTTAAAAAATGGAATCTGATTATTACATTACCATTTTCATTATGTAGAGTTATGTGAAATGAATTACATGGGTTCTTCATAATTTAATTTGTGCAATTAATCCCATTGGCAGGTAATAAATCTTCTCATCATAGACAAATGACATCTATTACAAATGGGACTAGAGGACAGCCTTCTGGTTACCCCATGAACATAACATCAGAGCCAGCTAGCTGGCAAGATGATTGCATTGGACTACATGCAACTCCACAGTGGGCTGTGCTGGAAATGTTTCTTAAAAGTCTTGGTCCGACTTCATCTAATTCGGCTCCACACAGCGATTTCCCCAGTGGGCTTGAGCACAGTGGAGATCAGGCGGATGGCGTGGCCTAGGGCCGAGGTTCAGTCAGTTGCTTATGGGGTTGCTGTGAGTGAGAGTCGGTTCGAGAGCACCTGGTGTCAATGATGTGGCCTCCATGTTGACTCTTTTATCCCAAAGGCCTTTGGCTTACTCCTGCTGCAGGTGCCTGGAGAAGTGCCACTCACAGTGTGATGCTTTGTGGTTGTTGTTAGCTGTGGTGACGTGGGATTGAGTTCACAGTGACTCTGTATGACAGAGAGGAAGAGTGCCCGGTCCTGCCTGGTCCTCACAGCTCCTGCCATGCGCGAGCCCACTGCTGCAGCGCCTACATCCTTCCGTCTCACTGACGCTCCTTCCTCTTCTCTACTGATGCTCTACTTTCCAAGGTCTGATGCCTCACAACCATCGCCTTGTTTGAACCCGTGTTGCAGACACTGTCTTTTCGTTGAATTCAGAGCCTGCCTTGTACTGATCCTTGCATTTTACCCAGCAAGATGATCCTCTCCAGGGGGCATTTCCTTTGGGAACGCATGTCCACAGGACATGAGATGAAGTCTCATCATCTTTGCTCTAAGAAACATTCTGACTGTACTTCTTCTAAGACAGATTGGTTTATTCTCTTGGCAGTCTATGGTTCATTCAGTATTGTTGTCATCATAATTGAAAGCTATCCGTTATTCTCTGATCTTCTTCATGGTTCATTTTTCATGCACACAGGAGGTGATTGGCAAGACTGTGCCTCAGGTAGGCACACCTTAGACCCAAGATGCCATCTCTGGTATTTAATTCTCCCCGGAAGCCTTTCTCAGCAGATTTTCCTGCTGCAATACATTGTTTGATTTCGACTGTGGCTTCCATCACTTCTGATTGTGTATCTATGTAAAATGAAATCCTCCATTTTGATCTCTTTTTTCCTACTTGTCATGATTCTAGTCCTGTGAAATATTTGTTGCAAAATAAGTAGAAATTGAAAGAATTTTTGCTTTACTTCTGCGAAGTCAATTTGGACTCATAGCCTCTCTACAAGACACACTAGAACTATAAGTAAATGGTCAGTAGGTCAGTGGTTTATAGAGCAGTCTGTTTTGTTTTCCTAGTTATTCTTTTTTACCATATCTTACAAATGCTCCAGTCTTCGGAAGATTAGGAAATACGCCCCATCACAGGGATTTGGAGAAGCCCTGTCCTAGACCGATGGGAAGTTTCCATGGGAATCACAGTGAAGTCTGTAATTAAAGCACATCCAAGCTTTGAAAAGAGGTGGTGGTAGACATGACAAGAGTAGAGGTGGGAGAATGAGGAGCTGTGTCTGTGCAGGTGACTCACAGCTGTGTAGACGTGGAAGGATTTTCACTGTGAATGTATCCTCTTAAAGAAGGCATGGATGACAAATCTGGGACATTTGATTTATTTCCGTCGAATCTCAAACCACCAGGGATTATATAACATCTTTTAGTGGTCTAAAATAGACAGCCCTTTGAAACCGTGTCTAAAAGTATCTAACCTACATTTCTCATACATATTTCAGTTTCAGGCCTTTCCCATTATCTTTCACAAACCAAACCAGAGTTAACTCTTCCAAGAAAACATTTTTTCCCCCACATTATGCTGTCATGTGAAAAGGAGGTTGGATATCCAGGGTGGAGTTTGTGGTACACTAAACACACCCACAGTGAAGAAGTGTGATCCCCTTAGGGAGTGTCAAAGATTTTTCCCTCTGAAAGCTCCAGGTAGGCTGGTGGCAAAGCCAGCTGGGGTGGGGGGATGGTGTAAAATGTCAACAAAGAGCCCTGGACCTATTGGCTTCCTAGGGTTCATCTTCTTAATTACTGAGTTGATTCATCCACATTGCATAGTCAACGTGTGCAAACTTACCGGCTGAGTCCACAGAAGAGCTGCTTTTGCTTTGTCTCTGCCATGTCATTGTGAAGAATCAACTACAGAGACCCCAGGAGCCTTCGTTCCCTTGGCAAGGAGTAGCCCTGATATGCTACCTCGTGGATTCATGAACAGTGGTTTCATTAGAAGGGACTGTATTGTTTTTGGAGGTGGTTAAAAAGCTGATGAGTGTAACTCATGTGCCTTTGAGTTGGAAATACAACTCCTTATCAGATTTTCCACACACACAAACTCACACACAAACACACAACGCTCGCTCAACAGACAAACAGACACACATAGTGGCTGTTATGTGCAATCTAGTTGGAACTGACTCATAGCTGAACCTCCAGTGAGTTTTCAGAGGTTATAAATTGCATGAGCGGAAATTGTCCATTTCTCCCACAAAGTAGCTGGGGTGGAACTTCCTGCCTTTGGATTGGCAGTGCAACTCCTTGGCCTTTGGCCCACCAAAGCTCCTCTCTCTCTCTGTACTTGTGTGTGTGTGTGCGCATGTGTATATATACATATTAGAAAACATAGAAAATACTGAGAAGTATAAAAATGAATAAAAACACCTATACTTATCTAGGGAGTTCTGATGGCTTAGAGGTGAGGGGTTGCGCTGCCAACCCAAAGGCACACAGTTTGAATGTACCAGCTGCTCCCTGGGAGAAAGATGCACAAATTCTTCCATGCGGTTAATGCCTCTGAAAACCCACTGGAAAGTCAGCCTTGGGTCATTTCTGACTCGATGGTACATAACAACAATTACATAATTATCTTACTCAAAAATTATAATTTCTATTTTAACCTATTCTTACTTTTATAGAAAAATGAGGAATATGATTAACATTATGTATGTATGATTTTATATACTACTTTATCCCCTAACTTTACATCGTGGAAGCAGTCCCTCACTTACAATGGGAGGCCTATTCCGAAGACTGTGGTGTTACTCAGCTCTGAGATTATGTAACCTGTTTTTTTTAAAAAAAACACACCCTTTTGTTCTTATTGCCTTTTCTTTTCCATATCTTTTAAATCTCTTTTTCATCTTTGGAAGTTTACATGAGAACAAACTGACAGCAGCAGGCAGAGACTAACTCCCCCCACCATGTGGACGGGATGACACCCAGCAAAGGCTCTGGACAGGAAACTTCAGGAGCTTCCTGGTTGGTGGAAGACTTTAATACATGTGGCAGAGCCGTGTGTTTCTTTGTGGAACTTGGAAATTCTGTGTTCAGAATCCCTCCAAATCCTTTCTATGTCCCTCTTTATTTGTATGTTTCTTTTCCTTATAGTAAAACTGGCACCTTCTGTGAGTTCTGTGAGTTGCTGTTATGTGTCTATGGAGTCTCTTAACTCTGAATCACGGTGACCTTGTAAACAACTGCTCTGATTCCTGCCCTGTCCTGTAACAGCCTCATCGTCTGTGATGTCCTTGAGCCCAGTGCTGTAGTCACTGTATCCACAGAGGGTCATCCTGTTGAGGGTCTTCCTCTCTTTCGCTGACCTCTGCCTTTCCAAACACAATGTCCTTTTCCAAAGACTGGCTCCTCCTCACAACGTGCCCGAAGTCTGTGAGGCAAAGTTTCATCATCCCTGCCTCCAAGGAGTGTCCCCTGGGTGCACTTTCTCCAAGACGTAATTATTTGTTATTCATGGGATGTTCAGTACTGTTCTCCAACACAGCAACTCAAAGACATCCATTCTTCTGTCATCCGTATTCATTGCTCCACTCTCAAATGCATGGCAACTAACTGAAAAGACCATGGCTTGGATCAGTGCTCTAGTGAATTATTGAACCCAAGGGAGCAGAGGGAGCCAGCTTGTCAGAAGTGAGGATAAATTTGAGAAGTCAGAGAACTCCCATATTTGTAGCTAGCAGATCAAAAGCGAAGGAGCCTGAGGAGGGATGCCTTACAACCGGCTTCCTCAAGGAGTCGTGGGGAAACTCTGTTTTGTAGCCAGCAAGTCAGAAGTGGAATGGCGTCTCTCCAAGTGGGCAGATTTCTGAGGTCCTGACATTTGAGCTCTGACTCTGTTCTGGTGTCAAAAGATAGAGGAATACGTACTACTTGGGCATCTGGTGACAGAGAAATGGGCATTTAATATTTTTCCATCCAAGGCACAAAGAAAAGAAGATTCTAATCCATTTCATACATAGAGAGAATTCCTTTTTCAGTTGCCTCCCTCGCCTGCCTCTTTTTTTTTTTTTTGGTTGCCTTTTTATCAAACAGGCCTTTATGCTGTGCTTGATAGAGTGACATATATTCATTGTTGTTTTAAACCAACTCCTTATCACCTTCACCTTTTGCAGATCTCCCTCCTAACTGATGTCATCTCCTCCAGGTTCTGGCGTAAATGATGGACAGTGGCATTCTGTCTCCTTATCTGCTAAGAGGAACCACCTGAGTCTGATGGTAGATGGCCACGTGGCCTCAGCTGCTCCTTCCCTGGGTCCTCAGCAGATTTACTCAGGAGACACCTACTACTTTGGAGGTAAGGAAAGTGGTCAGATCAGATGGGCAGCTGAACCATATCTGTATCTGTGTCTAGTCTTGGACAAATCATCAAGATTTACTTAACCAGTGTGAATGTTCTTGTGTGCTTTTGAGTGGATATGGGCTCTATATGTTCTATAGAACAGAACTGCCTCATAGTTTCCCTGAGGTGTACTTTTGTAGATGGAGCTCTGGTGGCTGAGTGGGTAAGGAATTATGCTGCCAACCCAAAGCCATGAGGTTCAAATCCACTGACTTCTTTGTGGGAGAAATATGGGCTGTCTCCTCCCATGTGATTTACAGCCTCTGAAAACTGACTGGAGTGTTGATTCCAAGTTGTTGGCACACAACAATACCACCAGTTTTCACAGAAGTAGATCTCCAGCCCTTTTCTCCAGAGGACCTGCTGAGTTCAAACAGCCAACCTCTCTGTCAGCAGCCCACTGCTAAACCATTGCATCACCTGGGCTTCCCTAAATCGTAACACTGAGGAATTCGGTTTCTCTTTCTTTGAGTGTGTCACGGTTATAAATGATAACTTCAAATGCATTTCTGATAAGTAGATTAGACTTACTGAAATTTGTGGTTTCCACACTAATAAGATGGCTTTTAAGCAGGCTAGCTTCTTCAGTTTTTATTTTTAAACTTTGTTGTATTTTCTTTATGATAAAGTATCTGTATATACTTTATTTTATTTCAGCATTTTCCTAGTCATGCCTATTAGCACCTCTAGACCATCCTTATTGTTTTCCATTGCCCAATACAGAGGACAATACGGGGCTAATAATGAACAACTTTGTTACTGTAGCAGCGTCTTTTCGTTGCTAAGTAATAGTGCACAGACATTGTTGTTGTTTACCGTTGAGTCAGAACCAGCTCATAGCTGACCCTCCAGTGGGTTTTCAGAAGCAATTTAATCCAACAGGCAATGTCCATCTTTCGAACAGCGTGCCTTTGAGCTAGCAGCACAGCACCGCTAGGGCCACTGTGCATCTGCTGAAATCAGGATTTCAGCCGTCCACACTAGACCATGCCCCTCAGAGAACAAATGGGGCGTTTGCCTGCATGCGTGAGCTCAGGGACTGGAGGCAGAATCCATGCACGTGGAATGACTCTTTATGACGAGAACATGAAAAGGAAATGTTCTTTGCCATTTGCATTTTGTTGAAATGCAAAGTTGCAAAACTGTTATTAAGATTTATTTCTAATCCTAGCTTGACTTATCATTTTACCATTGTTGCTGATATCTGTGTTTTGCATTTGAATAGTTGTCTCTCTTTAGACACACTTTTGAATTTGGTGAAATGGTCCAATCTTTGAGAAGACTTGCTGGTAGAGCAGATTGAGAGCTCGGCTGCTCCCAGTAGTTAGACCCCACTAAAGAGAGCGAAAGGTGAAGTGGTCAGCTTCTGTCAAAGTTACAGCCACAGAAACCTTTGGGGGCAGTTCTGCTCTGCCCGTTGGGTAACTAGGAGTCAGAATTGGCTCAATGACAGTAAACTTTGTTTTTTAAGGCCAATCAATCTTTGTTGTTCATCAGGATGAATGGCATGATCCACATATTTTCTAAAAACTGACATACAAAAGATCATTTCATATAATCTGAAGAAGCAAATGAACAAAGAAGCCAAAAGCCGTATCCATCTATCTGTCGGGGTGGGGGGAAATAATCTGGAGCTACATGTCTGCTTTCTTTACCAAGATGTGTTCATTTCCGAATCAGATTGTTTATAAAAACTTTTCTGAGTATGTGTTTGCTTTTATGGCAACTCATAGCAATGCCTTCTTTTAATAAATTGTCATACATAAAAACCAATTTAACCAAGAGGTTGCACTTCAGAGGCAAAGAGATTTAAAAGCACTAAAAGACTATTTTTTTTAAAAAAAGATATAGATTGTTAAATGATGCAAAATAAAAAATTGGATGAGAGTGTTTGTAAATCATGACAATAGAATCATTGTTCTTAGAGTATTTTGCATCCTACATGTTCGGCTTTAACAGTATTCAGCTGTTTTGTGGGGGAAATGTTCTCTAGTGCTTGCTTTCATTCCAACTGTAATATAATTTTATGGTGAAATAGCTCCCACTGTAATTTCACTTGTTTGTTTTTATTAAGAAGCATATGATTTACACATTTTTGTATTGAAATGAACTGTTCAAATTTTAGAATAGTTTCAGACTTACAGGAAAAGTGCACAGATAATGGTATAGAGATTTCCTGTATCTCTCACAGAATTTCCTCCATTGATATAAGTAGAAAACGGAAGTAATCTCCATGCCATCTAGTCTATCCTGACTCATAGCAACCCTATGACAGAAGAACTACTTCATAGGGTCTAAGCAAGTCCTTACAGAAGCCAAGTACCATATTCCTCTTCTGCTGAATGGCTGGTGTGTTCAAACATCCAACATTTTACTTAGCAACAGAATGGCTTCACCACAGTGCCATCAAAGCTCTACGTGCATACATTTTCAAAATTTCTGATGGTTCTTTTTAAACAAGCAGCCAGGTACAAGTTGCCTAATTTAAGATGACCCAGGCCTCTGGAGTCTCATTTGACCCTCTAAGGTCCATATCCTTTAGTTTCCCCAGGTCAACACTATCCTGAATGTTGGGATTATCTTTGACTTCTTGGTTTTCATAATTTGACATCTGCAGAATTTGGGGATCTCTCCAGACGAAACTATAGACTCAGGCACCCGTAGGATCATCCTCAGATTTGATAAGTCTCTACAAGAAGTCTCAGAGTTCAACAAAGGAGTTAGGTTTGCTGGAACTCATTGAGTTTCTCAGAATGAAAGGGGGCAGATGAAAATCAGCCAAGGCACAGGGTGTTCAGAGAAGGCTCCAGAAGTACCAAGTGTAGGGTTTCTGGTCGTGCTTTCCCACTGGAGTCTGGGTAGCAGCTGCTTCACCAGCAGTGATGTGTGTTACCGTGGGCCTGGAGAATGGCCGAGAAGGGACACGTACCCAAGCCCTGCTGTCCAGAGCCTAGGGCTCAGTCCTGTGGACGTGGCTGGCCACCTGGTGGCTGACTTTACTCTCCTGCCCCTGCTTTCAGAGATTGAGCTGATTCTGCCTAGACAAGGCCCTCACTGCAAATCATACTGCTAGTATAGACTCTCCAGTGTCCCTCCCTCTCCCCAGCCCCCAAACTCTCAGGTAAAGAAAGATGCTCTCACCAGAAATAACAATTCCAAAGTCTTGGAGGCTATGTCTCAGAAGCCAGAGGCAAAGATGAGACCTCCCTTTGTTGTTGGGAGGTACTTGAGTGTCAGCTCTGACTGATTGAGCACAGTGGGGTGAAAGCCTGGCCTATGCAGTACCATTCTCTCAGTTGCTGCTGTGTTTACGCCTACTGTTAAAGCCACTGTGATTGTCCATCTCATTGAGGGCCCCTGTTTTTCCAAGCATGATGTCCTTCTCCAAGGACTAGGCCGTCCTCATAACATCCTCAAAGCATGTCAGACCAAATCTCACCCTCTTTGCTTCGAAGGAGCCCTCTGACTGCGTCCCTTCAAAGCAGAATTGTCCGTCCATAATTCCCTACCACAAAAATCCCCTTATGTTCTTAAACAACACACCACACAACACAGATAGTGGAAGCTAAACTGTGTGCAGAATTCTCACTCCCAACCCTTGGTTGGAAAGCAGATGTAATCCATCCAGTGAACTGACTGCACCCGGGTGAAATCTAACCTTGGCATCTGCCTTCTGGTAGAGTGACATGCGGTGATAATTTATCTGTCATCCTCAGAGCATTTAACTTGCTGACTGCCTCAAGTAATGGGCCCATCCATTAATTCCGCATTAAATGTTCTCTGGAAATTTTCATATTTTAGAACTTTCAAATGGGTTCAGCGCTGAACTTCTGTGCTGCTGCATCCCATTAACTGTGAACGCCTCTATTCATAGACTAATGAGACTAACCTGAGCGGCATCCTCCTTTGTTCTTAGATCACTAGTTTGTCGTAATTTAGGAACCAAAGGTCTCCCGAGATGGGGGGTCTTACTGTAAAGTTTAGTGACCTTTTCCTGTGATGAGGGCTTTGCTTTGTTGTTTTGTTCTCGACAAGCATATTGCGCGATTTATTTTATTCAGCGGTGGTTTGAGATGTGTCAGAAAACAGCACCTGGAGAAAGCGAGATTAGCAGGGTTGTGTTTATATTCCTGGCATATTATCGTTGCCCCTAAATATTAATGGACTATTGTCCTTTAGTCCTTATCGAAGCACTCTTAATTGGCTAATAAGTCATCTAGAAAACACACCAAGATTACAGAAACTATTGCTTCTCCCACAGACGATTTCAGGCATTTGGAATGTGTGTCACATCATATATAATAAAATGATACTTGGGAAGCATTGATCACTTTCTCTTAATGTATTAAACTTGAAACTCCAGGGTCTTTGTGAACAGAAGATATAATATCTCAATGTGCCTGATATGTTAGAAATACAAATGCTAGCTTTTACTTACCAAAACAAGTTTGGGGTTTTTTGTTGTTTTTGGTTTTGGTTTTTGTTTTTTTTTTTTAGGAAGACAAAGCATTAGGCGTAGTTGAAACATTTAATTAGAGTAGAAATTCCCAAGAAGAAAACGACTGTGGATTGTGCAAGGATTAAGAAGTTGCTGATTCATTTCTTATTCTGTGAAATTGTAGTAGTGCTTGACAACCATAACAGCGAAGAAAGATGAATAATAGACGCATGCATATGCCCTAAAATGATTTATTTCTCTTGACTAGAGTAACACTTCAAACATCATTAAATCCTAGGCAAAAACAGTTAATAGGAGATATACTTTTTATTACTTAAATAATGAGAATCCCGTCTTAAGTAAATACTAAAGAAAAAAATATATCAATGGAAATGGAGCATCCTTTGATGGGGCGAACAATAAATCAAATCAAACAGTAAAATGGTTTTTTTTGGGCACTCAACCGGTATGATTTATGAAAATACACGTATATGTGCCTCTTGTGTATATGAAAAGAAAATATTTAATTAAATAAACATCTGGCAGTGTTCCAAATCTATAGAACACCTTTTCCAAATACTTGGCTTAAACACAGTGGTGTTTTATCCTTCTTGATTTATCGTTTCTTAGCTAGCATACACACGTCCACCCTTGATGTGTCTCACTTTGCATTCTAGAAGACTTGATTCCCTTGTTTATATGTCATTTCATATTGCTGGTTAACATATTTTGATTATTATAATTTTAGAGCCAATGTATATATGTATGCAAGCCTATGTGTGTGTGTATCTATCTATCTATCTATCTATCTATCTATCTATCTATCGTTTTGACCTTCAGATCAAGTTAGTTATCTTGCATATAATTATTCCAACATTTGTAGCTTCCTGTGGATCTATGGGAATAAAGACAAACATTTTCTATGAAATACAATTTGTGATTTAGATCAAATTAATGATAACTGTACTGGGTACTCCTCCATATTCCTTGATAGCTAATCATCAATGACTATTTTGTTGTTCTTTTTTAAAATGAAATACTGTGTGATGTTGAATCCCAAATTATGATAAGAAATATCTTGAGCTTTTCTTTCTTTCTTTTTTTTTTAAATCAGGTTGTTCTGACAACAGCTTTGGATCCAAATGTCAAAGTTCACTTGATGGATTCCAGGGCTGTCTGAGGCTCATTTCTATCAGTAACAGAGTGGTGGACCTGATCTCTGTTCAGCAGGGGGCCCTTGGGAACTTCAGTGACCTTCAGATAGACTCGTGTGGCATCACAGATAGGTAAGAACAGTCTCATTTCTTTATTTTGACCTATTTTCAAGCTCTTGGCAGCAGGTTAAATTTACACACATAAACACATACGTGCGTGCACACAATCACAAGTGAACATTTTCTTCTCTCTTTTCCATCGTCTTGTATTCCACAGGAAATGGCGTGTATTCACATTTGACATAAGAAAAAATACAGCTTTAGTTTCATACTTTATGATTAAAATGGGGATATTTAGAGAGAAGACAATATGACTGTGTTTTTCATAAATATTCATGCTATCCAAATCACAAAATAGGATGTAGATACTTCTGTGATTGTAAATGACTCTGGTGTCATTTATCACCGATGGATCATTTATTGGATCATTTTTATATTGCCTCTGTAGCCATAGTCTTGCTACACCCACAGAATGATTGGATGTAATTCAGTAAATAAGGTGCTTCTGGCCCACCAAGGGGATGACACAGTTTGCTAGTAATGTAGATAAAGTGCATGGAATCTTGTCAGGATGAGAACATGACACTAGGTACATGAAACTGTCACCAAGGGGATCAGTCAGTTTGGCTATCCTGCTAGGTTTAAAATAAGCTATCTTAGAAGACCAAAGTAGAGACCTCACTTCCATCAAGGAGAAGAGATGGGGGTAGAGCATGTCCTTTGGGTTTAGGGTCCCTGTGCTGAGAACCACCTAGACCCAGGGTACAGAGACCTATAACACTGGAGAGAGAAGAAGAAAAAAAAGAAGAGGTGAAACAACAGCAGCAGAGAGACTAGAAGCAGAACACCAGCAAGAGAAAGTGTGATGGTACTGCTAGCCCATGGAGTGAGTGTCATTGAAGGAGATTTGATGGTGGACTGGGGTTTCCCCAAGGACTGATGAGCTAGAATGCACCTTTGTGTAGAGGCTTACTACCAGAATGAGGTGCCTCTGGGGATTCACTGGCAGAGCTCAAGAGTTTTTTAACACTTACCTGAACTGTGGAGAGGTCAGGTTGACCCAAGAGATCTGAGAGATCAGGGAGAGAAGGCCTACCTGCTGAGAAGAGACCATTGTTTTAAGAAAACTATATCCTGAGTCATTTCTCATCTTGAATCCCTTGCAACCTGTCACTTCCCTAATAAACCCCAACATTGTGAGCATTGTCTGTGAGTCTGAGAAGAGGTACACCTATCTGACTTTCACTTAGTAGGAATCAGCCTTGAACTGTTGCTGTTGATCATGTATCTCCATCCTTTTCCTTGTAGAGTTAGAGGAAGAGGTCTCCTGCCATGTCACGATGTACACAATGACTTTGTTGTTGTTGTTGTGCCTATGACCCGTGGACCAACCTATGGGACTAATCCTATGGACAGAAGCCTGAAACCTTGCCCTAGACTGCACCATGCCCACAGTCACTGCCATGGTCAAGCCCATTGTTGCAGTCACTATGTCAGCCCATCTCCTGCAGGGTCTTCTTTTCTATTATAAGCGTGATGTCTTTTTCTAAGGACTGGCCCTTCCTCAAAATATATTCAAAGCATGTGAGATGAGGTGTCGCCATCATTTCCTCTAAAGAGCACCTGCGTGGCGCCTTCTCCGAGACTGAGTTGTTCGTTTTGCAGTCTGTGGGGTGTAGAATGCTTTTTGGCAAGGCCACAATTCAAAGGCAATGATATATTCTTTTTAGTCTTCCTTATACCAATAATTAGATCTTTCAAAAAACCCCTATCACTGGACTATGATCATAGGTTAAGATATACTGATAAATTTAAAGACCCTTAATAGATGAAAATACGGAGAGAGTAAAATTGTTCAGCAGGTACAAATAAATCAGAGATCTATGTGGTTGCTTATCAAGCTTGCTTTTGGTACTCTGACTGCTCAATGATATTTTTAGGTACTAGGAAACATACCAGGATGTTATTCTAATAGGTACGTTCAACTCATTCTCATTTCTCGCCAAGGAAAATGAAAAAACAGTTACGCTTCTGGAAAGGCTTCTAGCATAATATCTTTACCATTAATTGATGAGGGCATCAGGAGGGCCAAGTTGATGTGGCAGAAGTACCAGTACAATATAGCACAATGCCAGCTTTGGGAGTTCATTGTAGAGGATACGACCCCAACGGAATCTATTGACATTACGTTGGTTCTGACTGCCCCAAAGGGCTTCCAAGACTGTGAATATTTACAAAAGCAGACTGCCTCCGTATCGTTTAGAGCAGCTAGTCTGTTCAACAACAACAACAACAGTCAGTTCAAGTCATGAATCTTTAACTTCTGAGTATTTTAACCACTGCATCACCAGGATGCCCCTCAAATATTAAGGCTGGTAATTTTCATTTTCAGTATCGCTGTAAATGAAATATCATGGCTATTCTAGGTTAAGAAAAACAAGCTTTTAAAACAGTGGTGTGAATCTCCTTTTCACAATGAATAAGGAGAATTGGAGAATAATTGGTTCCGTTTGAGTTTTGGTGTTGGCACAGAATAATGACTGTGTGAGGGAGTCCCAAACGAACAAACCAGTTTGTCTTAGAGAAAGTGGGGCCAGGGGCTCCTTGGAGGTGAGGATCGTGGAGCTTCATCTCACAGGCTGCTGGCATTTCATCAGGAGGGACTGGTTCCTGGAGAAGGACATCATTCTTCAAAAAGAGCAGATCAGTGGAAAGAGGAAGAGACAAGTCAGCCTGGTGTCTAGAGCAATGGGCTAGCCTAGCAGCGTTTGTGAGGATGGTACCAGAGGGGCAGGGCTTTGTTCTGTTGTTGACAAAAGGCTCCTGTGTGTTGGAGCCACACTCATGACCCCTAGCAATAGCAGAAAGGCACTGAATATTACTTTATGTAAACATAAACAGTCCGAGTTTTGAAAGGAATTTTTGTTGTATAATAAAATTTGATCAGCCCATACACTCACTTGCTTACATCTGGTAGACCACTTAGCAAAACCCTTGATCTTATTTTGAACATTAATTGAAATTCAGTGTCACATCTAAAAAAAAAATCAAGTCATCATTATGCAATCGTATTAGTAATAGATTAGAAGAACATAATATCCTCACCAGAAATATTCATAAGCGCTTAATTTCTTTAACACGATTTGTAGCAAAAACAATTTTTTTTTCTGTGATGAAAGATGGTTGTCAAAGGGAAAATTTAGGATTGGTTTAGGAAGTAAATGCCTTCGTGGTCAGGCCCTGAGACCTGTGCCCAGATGCAGCCGAATCACCAGTAAGCTCGTTTGTGGGGAGAGTGGAGCAAGGCTTGCTGGGTCTCTTCTCTCTCTCTCCCCCTGGGTTCTGCCCCTCAGAGACTGGTGGAGAGGTTCAGCAGTCCATGCCAGGAGTCTCAGTGCACACTGATTATCTCAGACAGCAGCTTGTGACTCTTCACACGTAGATCTGCATTTACCTCAGAGAGCAGGGGATCTGGTGCTCCAAGTCAGCCTACATTGCCGCTACGCGGCTATGTTCTGCAGCTTCCCTTTGACATGAGGAACCCGCGTTCCCTGTGTTCAGTGAGCTTATGCTCTGAGTAAAATGTGATGAAACATTTGGAAAACGTATGTTCATCACCACGCCTTTAAAAGGTTTTCCAGAAATATGCGACATTTGAATAAAATCCACCACTCAATCTTTGACCTTTTAATTCAAAATGTGAAAAGTCAACTCTGTTATATAAGAACAGAAGAGGAATGTTGCCGTGATACTTTTGGGGAAAGCAGATCAGGTAGAAATAACACATTTACACCATGATCGAAATGTATTTGTTAGAATTTTAGGGAAGGGAGCTGCTGTTTGCCTCCTTGGTTGGCAGTCTGTGAAAGGATGGCTTTCTTCCTTCTTTTATTGCTGAATACCACCCAAGGTTCTGATTATTTTAATTTTTTTAATCTCCCTTTGTCTTGTAGACAACATTGATTTGGAAATGCTTAAGAACTTAAATCACGATACATTCCTTGAATGGATTAATGTGAATCTGCAGCAGTGCAAAAACAAATCCATTTTATTGGCATGCAAAGATGCCCATTATTTATTTTTGAATGCTTAAAAAGCAACTTGTGAAATGACATGTAATTTATGAAACTTTGGATAGAGAGAGACATATATATGTATATATTTATATGTTTATTTTTTATGTTTATATTTATATTATACATGTAGATATGTTTATACTGATAATGCCTATGTAAAGATGTTGTAAGTAATAATTTTTCTCTAATCTTTCTCACATTGATTGATTTATATACAGTGAAGATCTACTTTAAATATCAATAACATTTCTACTAAAATTGGGAAAATGTTGTTAGTAAAATATTAAGTGCCAATATGTAAATTTTCATAAAGAAGGTGGCAGAATTCACACTATACAGCATAGATTCTTCACTAATTTTGTAGCCTATTTTTTAAATCTGGAATGAAATTCAATCCAGAGGCATTTAAAATCTTGTTGTGTTGTGATATACCATCAAGTCAGAGCCAATTGACAGCTGACCCTCCAGCAGGTTTTCAGAGATGGTAACTAGTGAGGCAGAAGATGGCCTAACCTTTTTCCTGAGGAGAAGTTGGTGAATTTGAACTGTGTCCCTTTAGATTGACGGCGTTAACTCCTTGCCCACTAGACCTCCTGAAAGAGTCATTGCAACCGAAAGACAAGTGGTTCCAACCCACCAACTACTCTTTCAGAGAAACATAAGCAGTCTCCTCCTATGCAATTTACAGCCTCTGAAAACTCACTGGAGGGTTATCTGTGAGTTGCTCTAACTCCATGGCCAGGGGGGTTAAAACATCAGTATCAAGTTAGCTCTCATTCAAAATGCCAAAAGCATCAGTCATCTGTTAAGAACCACTGGTATCAATTCCTGAAATGCTTCTAGTTCATATCACCCCACTCACCTTAATAAATTTTCACAGTTCTCTCAAATCAGAAGAAATGCCTCGCCATGCTGTTTAGTAAGTGTTTAGTTCTGAACAACTGAACACATAGGCTCTAACCACTCACTCACTAGCCATTTGAAAAAAAAAAAAAGAATCTATCTAATACATATTAAAAAATACATGTAATTAAAAAGTAACATAATATTTTTATTTCATTTTGAATTAACAGTGTTATTTGGCAATCAGCCTTCTGTATCTGTTGAGTACGGTAGCACAGTTCCAAGCCTGGAATCAGATTAGATACTGCCACTTTCATTTTTTATCCCACCTTGGATTTCTATAGTAATCCATTTTTGTCAAGCAGTTAAAAATTCAGCTTCACAAAGGTAGCGTGTCATTAAAAGGAATGTGTCGGGATCTAATGCTGCAAAGACACTTCCTCTAGTAGGTGACCAGAGCGCTGGCCATCTTTTCAAAGGACGCAGATAGAAGTTACTTTGCCTAACTGAACACTTCAGACCAAGATGGGCAGCTGTTGAGTCTACTTGTATTCCTCTCAAAATCTAAAATGTTGTAGGAGCACCTGTGACTTTGGCCCAGCCTTCTGGGGCCCATTGACATAAGGCTTGTCTTTTGTGGACCTTTGCTTCGTCTCCTGTTTCTAGAGAAGTACATCATGTTTGGTAAAGGAGAGGTCAGAATTAAGAGCCTCAGTGTGATTTGCAGTCACTTCCACAGTGGACTAAAACGCAGCATCGAATGTGAGGGTGACTGGACTGAGACTGTGAGGTTGTGTAGAGGGTCACCATGCTGACTAGCCCTAAAAACAACATGCTAGGTCTCAACACCCCTGGACATACAATGCTAACTGGATAAAGATGTCCTTACCCCCCGCTTCCCTTTCCCTCTTTCTTCTTCTTTTAAGAAGAATTCCTCCTTCCTTTAATATTCACACACTGTAGTAATTCAAGATGCTAGAATATTTTCATGTTATATTATCAATTCATATTATTTGCAGTGAATCAAATCATATTGTGCCTTTAAGGAAAATGGAGTGGGGCATGTTGAAAGTTAAGTTCTGACAACCATTTGAGCATCAGTTGAAACTGGATGAATTTCAAGTATTCTAAGGGCAGACTGAATGACCGTTGGCTACTCTGAGCCTTCTTGGTTTGTGAATTGTTGTGATTAATAAGTGATTTGAAGCGTGTTTAGAGGTCACTGATGAATGTTTTATGGTACCTGGAAGTGAACAGTGATGGCTGGATCTGCTTCTTCTTCCAGGTGTTTGCCCAACTACTGCGAGCATGGTGGCGTGTGCTCCCAGTCCTGGAACGCCTTCCACTGTGACTGCACCAGTACAGGCTACCGGGGAGCCACCTGCCACAACTGTAAGCGGAATCCACAGCCCCTCTTGTGCCATTTCCATCTCCATTGTGGTGGTGGTGGTGGTGGTGGTGGTGGTGGTGGTGATGGTGTGTGCGAGCACGCGTGCCCGCCCGCTCCCACCTGTTGGAATGGGCAGCTCTGCACTGTAGCATCCGGTTTATGTTTATGTCAATCACCTCATTCCATGGAGGGGTCAACACAGATGATAGAAAACAAGGTAGAAGAGCATAGTAGAACTTGCCAGGGAAGCCCGTGTGTAGGGTAGCAAAAGAGTGAAAATAACATAGAAATGCACACCACGTTACATGATCTTGTTTTTATTTGAACTGGACCAACTTTTTAACTCTTAGGCTTCCTAGAAACCTGGACATGGATGGAAACACGCTCAGTTACCAGATTCTTACTGATCTAAATAGAGATATTCTCAGACACAGCACCAGATGGACTGGGGCAAGGTTACTGCGGCGTGGGGACTTAATTGTTGCACAGAGACTGGCTTATGCTCGAGTCCTCTTGTCCTGTCTGGTGAAGGTGTGGGCATGAGGGTGGTAGATAACAGTTAGAGTCCTCACAATAGCTGATTGTATTGGATGCTTTCTGAATGCCATACATTGATCTAGTGCTTTGTAAGTGTCAACTCTTTTCATTCTGCAGACAGCCTTAAGATGCAGGTACTATTCTCACCTCTGGTTTGACCAAGAGAAACATATTAATCCACTTGCCTGAACCTGCTCCAATAGTTCAGGCAGATGATGATCCAAACATTAGCAGTCAGGTTCCTGCACCCTTTTCTGGTGCTAGAAATGATCTTTTCTGATGAGTCATCCATACGAAACCTTTAGGAACATGTCATGGGGAGAAGACGCATTAGAAAGAAAAACTGGATGAAATATGTTTACGGCATTGAAGTCTATGGGGGAGAGAATAGTCTAAAAGTATTATATTTTAGGGCATTATTTTTATCGTAGGAGTATGCAATGAGGGTTGCAGAGGATTATATTTGGGGGTAGGGGGTGGGGTTTGGGGAGGTGCAGTGGGGGTGGGTTGTGTACCAGTGAGGGAGTTTTTCTTTTGCTTTTCAAGGAGAGGAGCAAACGGGGAGGGGGGGGTGTTTGTGCGGGGAGAAGGGTGCAACAATGAATGAACAGAATTCCAAAATCTCTGTAGATGTTCATTGAAATGAAAAATAACCTAAATTTTAAAAAAAGAAAAAAGAAATGCCCCGATTTAGTCTCATGTTAGGACAGCACTACTAATTTTTCCTGGAAGACCTGTACTCTAAACCTACTTCCTGTGGCTTTGCCTTCAGTCCCCTGTCTCCTCACCCAGGTCCCTTACACCAGTCTCTGGCTTTGCACTCCAGCTGGAATGCAGACAGAAATCCCAGCTTCCATTCTTGGGGTCTCAGCTGAGAACTCTCAAATGTCCTGACTCAGATTTGAAAGCACTTGGTCAGGAGTCTCTGCCAGCATTGTTTTTAAATGCATCCAACACGGCATCCGGTTGCTCCCCTGGCTTCATTGATTACACACATGGAAGTGTCTGCATGATCTGATGAAGAAAGTTTGCTGTTCTTTATTTTCTTTTTTTATTATTTTTTTGTGTGTGTGTACCGTCAAATCAGATCTGACTTGTACAGGAGGAGATTGTCCCTCCTTCCCCGGCAGAGCATCTGGTGGATTCGAACCATGCGCCTCTGGGATTGTAGTTGCAGCTCCTTGCCACTAGGCCACCAGAGCTCCCCTAATGTTTGCTGTTCTTAATGCCTCATCTGTAACCAGAGGTCACATGATCTGAGCCAGGACACTTCACTAGTAAAGGGATAATATAGAAACAGACTTAACGAGAGATACTGGCCTGGACAGCTGCAGACATAGATCCTATACCATCCTCAGTGTCCCACCTAACTAAAGCATCACAATAGAAAACTACTAGTGTGGTTTTCATTAAATACTCATTCATTTTTCATTATTACCAATGACTTGTACATAGAATCATAGCAGCTCTGAGGAAATCACAGCAGCTCTGAGGAAAACTCAGATGAGAAATTAAAAGGCTATTTTCATTTGCTGCCTACGATTTGAATCAGTCATTGAGTAAATTTGTTTAGATCCTTGATGCATATGGAGCTGAAAGGCATATCCTTGCAAATAGTCATTCTGAGCAATGGGGCCAGGGTGACGGAGCTGGTTATAGGGTTCAGGTTCTGAGTCATGCTTGACCCCACAGGGTCCAGCAACAACAGCAGCATTACAACCTTAGGGGGCTCTGGGGACCTGGCGGTAAGAAGTTACACTGATGACCCAAAGGCATGCAGTTAGAATCCTCAGGACAGAAATGAGCAGTCTCCTTCTTTATGACTTAGTGTCTCAGAAAAGCCTACTGGAGGGTCAGCTATGAGCCGGTTCTGATTCAGGGGCATATAACAACAATATTACGACTTTAGCATGAGGAGAATGAGGAGCAGAAAAGAAGGCTTGACTAGGAAAATGCCACACTAAACCCTGGTCAATGAAACTCAAACTATGTGCATTAAAGCAAAAATCTACTGGTTGCTCTTGTCCAGGTGCTTATTTTGTCCAGTGCCAGCCCTCATATTAAAGGGGTGTGTGTGTGTGTGTGTGTGTGTGTGTGTGCGCGCGCGCGCACGCGCCCTGCCAACCTCTTTCAAGGCCATTTATAAGTTGGAATAGACTCCGTGCCAACACTGTATATCTCTCTCTCTCTCTCTCTCTCCCCCCCCCCTCTATTTATATTTACGAAGTGTTGGCATGGAGTCTATTCCAACCTAACACTAAGGGACAGAGTAGAGCTCTCTCAATGGAGATGCTGATAGATTTGAGCCACCGACCTTTTGATTAGTAGCCAAGTGCTTAACCGGTATACTACCAGAACTCCTGATGGAGGAATTTCAAAAGGGACTATTTACATGCTTATTTAACTGGCACAAACTATAACTGGAAAACAGTTGTGTGTGTGTGTATATATATATATCCATCTCTGTAATATATAATAGGAGCCCTTGGGCAGCATAGATGGTAAGCACTTGATCACTAGCCCAAAGGTTAGTGGTTCAAATCCACCTAGAGGTACTTCAGAAGAAAGAGTTGTACATCTGCTTTGAAAAAAATTGTAGCCACTGAAAACCCTGTGGAGTTCAGCTCTAGTCTAACCCCCAGGGAGAAACTGAGTGAGAATGAACTCGGTGGCCACTGAGTTAGCTCTGGTGTAATGTGTGATTAAAACAAATGAAACCATCAGATGGTGAAAGAGTGAGAATGAAAGTCTTATTTCACTTTTAAAAAAACATTGTGCAAATTAACTACATTAATTCATGCTGTGTAAAAGCACTTGTTGCTGTGTACCGTCAAGTTGGAACCAACCCATAGCTGACCCTCCAGCAGGTTTTCAGAGGCAGCTAGAGACAGGAGGAGATTGCCCATACTTCTCACCGAGCAGCTGGTGGCCTCGAACAGTGTGCTTTCAGGACTGCTTCGCAACTCCTCGCCACTAGGCCACCAGAGCTCAAACACTTGCTCAAATGATTTTTCAAAACTTTCAAATGCATTTTGGGAAGAATATGGACAATGTTTCTCATTTCAGGGAATTTAAAGGTACCTACTGAAAATTATTGGTTCATTTGACCCATGTATGTGTTCAGAAAAAAAGTATGTCTTCTGCAGAGGTGTTGCTATCAAACCTTGTGCAAAAAAGCCCCACACAAAACCCCACAATTTCGATAACCAAAGGCATCCCATTAAAGATCAAAATATATTGAGACCAACTGAAGGCCTTTATCTTCTGCTCAGACTTCTCATTTCAAAGCATTTGAGAACATTCCTTTTGAAACTTATTTTAAAATTATTCATGAGAAGCTTTTGAAACCATGCTATTTTTATGAGAAAAATATGCCCTACAAATCATATATGAGAATAAAGTATAGTTACAACTTTCATTCGAAACTTTTCTATTGTGTTGGATAGAGTTGCTTGTTTAAGGAGATGATACTTACTTTTTTTCAGATGTTCCCTATTAAAAAGGTGAGAATGGAATTAGAAATTGCAAAATGGATGTTGCAAGATAAAGATATCCCATTATATTCATAAGTGCCTTAACATTTAAGCTCCTATCTTCTTCTGCCTTGAAGTGTAAAAATAAATGTCATAAAATACAGTCTCATGCTTTGTCTTTTAACTCTAAGTGAATCTAGTTCGACCATATTAAAAGAAGTTTTATATTTTCAAATATGTTGTATTTTTATTCTTGGTCTGTAATGTATATACTAAATTTCAAGACTTGGAGTATTTGGTGTCCAAATTAAGGCTTCAGGGACTCATTTTTTACTTATTTCATTTAAGATGATCTTTTTCCTTACAGCTATCTATGAGCAGTCATGTGAAGCCTATAAACACAGCGGAAATACTTCAGGGTTTTACTATATAGACTCAGATGGAAGTGGTCCCCTGGGGCCATTTCTTGCATATTGCAACATGACCGGTGAGTTAATCATCTATCATTTCACAGTTAAATCTGCATGCATACTTGAATACAGAGATGTAAAAGGAAACAAATCAAAAGGTGGCCTAATTGCAACTTGATTAGAATGTTTATTGTTCAGTAGAAAGATGGAATGTCAATCTTTTTAAGCATGTTTCTTGTTTAAGAATGTGATGGTTTGAAATTGTAATTCCTTATTATTGTACATGTGATTTGTATTGTTGTCACTGGGTGTCATTGGGTTAATCCCAAATCAGAGTTGCCCTGCATGCAGCCGAAGTGAGCACCACCTACTCCTGTAGTCATTGTTCTATTTGAGGCCATAGTGGGAGCCACTGTCTTCAATCATCTCATCGAGAGCCTTCCTCTTTTTCCCAGACCCTCTACCTCCCCAAGCATGAAGCCCTTCTCTAGGGACTAGTCTCTCTCCATAACATGACCAAGGTACATGAGATAGAGTTTCACCATCCTTCCTTCTAAAGAGTTTTCTGGCTGTCATTCATCTAAGTCAGGTTTGTTAATTTTTCTGGTAGTCCCAGGTACATTTCATGTTCACTGTCAACACCATAATTCACTGGCATCAAATCTTATTTGGTCTTCCCTTCTCATTGATCAGTTTCCCTTGATTGAAATGCAATGCCTTGGGTCAAGTGCATCTTAGTCTCCAACTCCTAATCGTTGCTTTTAGCACTTGGAAGAAATGTTTTGCACTACATTTGTCTGATAGAATACTTTTATTTCTTGGCTGCTGTTCCCTTTGGTGTTGATTGTGGACCAGAGTAAATGGAGTGTTTGTATTGGTTGTCATTCAATTATTCATATATATATTTCTTTTATAGCATTGATTACAATTTATCCATAATTATCACAATGTCCCATCAAATCTTCACTGTTCCTGCCTATCCTTTCACCCTACCCTAACCCATCTATCCAGTAATCTCTGCTTCCCTAGCATTTTTCTTTTCTTCTTCTTTTCCTCCACCCCCCCGCCCCGTCTCCTCTTCCTCATCCCCATATGGTCAGTCATGCATTTCCTCTTCTGAGTTGTTAATTGTGATACACATTTTATCCATTTGTCCACTTGTTCCACGTGGATCCTTCTTTCTGCTGATCCCTTACCCTGTTCATTGTCCATCTGTTCTATTTCTGCTCTCTCATTGCTCCATGCCACAGTCACCCTCCTATTTTCCCAGTAGAGGTCTTCTACAGTATCTGCCCTTTTGTGACTGAGTCATTTCATTCAACATAATGCTCTCTAGATCTGTCTGTGCTGTGCAGTGTTTCATGAGTACTTCATTATTACTCAGTGTTGCATAGTATTCCAGTGTGTAAATTTACCACAGTTTCTGTATTCATTTGTTTGTTCATGGGCCGTTGGACTGCTTCTCCCTCTTTGCTATTGTGAATAGTGCTGCAGTAACCACAGGTGTATGTACATCTGTTTGTGTCTCAGCTCTCATTTCCTCGAAGTATATTCCTCGTAGTAGAATAGCTGGGTCAAATGGGATTTCATTTTTTTACCTTTTTGAGAAAACTCCAACCTGACTATCAGTCTTTGAAACCTAAATCTTTTCTCCATTTATCGTGATGTTGTATATTGGCCCCGTTGTGAGGATGTGTTTGTTTGTTTTTTATGCTCAAGTATAATGCAGACTGAAGGCTTTAGTCTTTGATCATCATGAATAAGTGTTTCAAGTCTTCACTTTAGCAAGGAAGGTGGCGTGTATCACAGAGCAATAATGAATCTTCCTCCAGTCCTATACCATACGCTTCTTCTTACAGTACCGCTTTTCAGATTATTTGCTTAGCATGCAAGATGAATGAGTAGGGTGAACAAATACAACCCTCACACACACTTCTCCTGATTGTGTGTGTATAATAATAAAGGTTTCTAATTTGTGCTGAAACACAAATACTAGTGATTTCTCTGAGTAGATTGAAACACATGAAAGCTTGGAACAACCTTTATTATTTAAGTTTGTGTAAATAGAAAACTTATTTATTCTTGAATTATTTACTTACATAAATTTACATAAGATTTAATCAGCACAGAAAATGAAGTGGATTATATTCAGCCTCTGTTTATAAAAAAATAAAGAAAATGTAATAATTTGCAAATGGAAGGGAAAGGGTATCCATGAAAAACCAATAGAAGATATCACAATTTTTGGTGAAATATTGAAAACTTCCTCCTGCATATCAGTAATCATGCAAGGATATTTCTGTTCACCACTGTGTTGAAAGCTTTCACTAGCACAATAATACAAGAAAAGGTTATTAATGAGAGATAGATAGATACAGTGAAAATTCCCATAATTTATAGATGACCTGATTATGTATTAAAACTGTCCTAAGTAATAAAACTATTAAAATTTAGAAGGTCACTGGTTATAAAATTAATATAAAGTTAAAGTTGGTTCTGGGTACCAGCAAAAAACAATTAAAAAAATAAAATTCTAAACTATTCCATTTTCAGTAGTATTAAAAAAATCTCAAAAACATAGGAATAACTTTAGTGAAAAATGCTCAAGTCTTCCATTAAGATAAAAATCAATGTGCTTGAGAGAAATTAAATTCCTAAACATAAGACTTTGACTGATTAGCTCTATGTTGTATAAATGACAGTTCTTCCCAACGAGATGTTGATTTAGTGCAAACCTGAGTTAAATTCCAACAGAGCTTTTGATTGATAATTGGTTGGTTGGTTGGTTGGTTTTGGTGAAAATTGGCAAATGGATTTTAAAATTTATGAGCATATACAAAAAGAACTAGAAAAACCAAATCAATGTTGAAGAGCAAAGTTAGAAGATTTAACTGTGTCAGAGACAAATACATTCTACAAATAGTCTAAGCAAAATAATATGGGCTGTTGTGGTTTTTTTATCCCAGAAGGAAAAACAAATAGACCAATGAGGACAGGGGGACAGAGAGATTTATTTCATCAGCACACACACAAATTCCAGCTGAATTGTACTGTCTAAGATGGAAGAATTAGAAACCCTAGTTTAAAGGAGACACAATCAATGAGATTAAATTAATTTGGGTACATTAAATTAAAAATTTCTATTCAATTAGATGTTCAGTTTTACAATTTCACTTACCGCATTTCAAGTGCTTGATGGCCATTTGTTGCTAGGAGTGCATGTCTCGATCAATGCAAATGTGGAACATTTCCATCATTAAATGAAGGTACTGTGATGCTATGTTTGGAAGTCAAAGTCTTAGGCAGCAGAAGAGGATAATGGTATACTGTAGCAGGAGGTGATTGGAAGTGGATTTACTTCTTAAAATTTCTACTTTAAAAAGACTAAACTGAGCAAGTGACATTCGATGTAATGCTTGAAGAACCAGATACTTGAATATTTGGGGTAAGAACCTTCCAGGCAGAGGAAGGCATATGTCAGGGTCTACGATGGGAACGTTCCAGGTGTGTTTAGGAGACAACAGCAAGTCTAGTGTGAATGGAGTCACTCGGGTAAGGGTAATGTAGTGGAATCGAGTGGGGAGAGTGGAAAGGCATTGGAGATCTTATGGAAAATTCTTAAGTCTTTTTAGTTGTTTCTGTGTTGGGAAACTCCTATCTAGGTGTGAGCTAGAAAAGAGAGAGAAACTGAAGGAAGCCATTGCAAGTCAGAAAAGAGTTCAGGCAAAAGTTAATGATAGTCACTTGCCTCAAATAATAGCAATACAAGTGGGGATGGGTTAGTCGTGTTTACTGTTTCCTGTATGAGCCAATGAAAGTATCAACATAGTTTGTGTTAAACAACTGGAGTGGTCGAGTTTTACCATTGTTAGAGTTTTGATAGAAGATGAAGACTTGAGGGGAGAGACCAGGAGTTCAGACGTTGAGTATGTAGTTGAATGTGGGAACTAGGGTTGCTTTCTACTTGTAGTCTCTGAATGATGATGGGGTCCCATTCTGCTGACTCCATCATAAGACTATTCCAATGTTAAGTTGAATAGCTCATTTTTGAAGGTTTCATAACCTATTATCATCTTTCTTTAGAAATCCTACCTTTATTTGCCTCAGAGTTGGAGACATTACGTATAAATTTACAGATGTATTTTAATACATATATTATTAATGATAAAACAAATCACAAGACAGATTGTCTTAACTGTGGCTTGCTGTAAGTGGAATATGCCATAAGTCAGACACAGCATTTAATTATGTATAATCCTAAACACTGCAGGCTAGTAGTAAAACCTGGCAGCAGAATTTTTTAGTAGGGAGAAGAAGTTACTAGAAAAGATGTCTTTAGGGATGACATGAGGTTTTAAAGATATTTAGAGTGAAAGAACAAATTCCAAAATACCCTGAACTAAAAAAATCCAAACTCATTGCAGTCAAATCAGAACTGACTCATAGCTGGCCCTTTAGCAAATGACTCTTCCTGCTGAGGTTGTAAATCACATGAGAGGAGACAGCACCTCTCTCTTCCTTGGAGCCAGCTGCTTGTTGATTTGAACTGTTGACCTTGGAGTTGGCAGTGTAACTCCCTACCCATTAGGTTCCATTAGTTAATGAACTAGAACTCATTGTTTGTTGTTGTGTGCCATTAAGTAGGAATCAATGCATAGCTGACCCGCTAGTGGGTTTTGAGAGACCGTGAATTGCATGGGAGGAGATTGCCCATCCTTCTCCCATGGAGCACATGGTGGCTTCAAACCCTGTGCCACTGAGAATACAACACAGCTTCTTTCCACTCAGTCACCAGTGCTCCTCACCTGAACTAGAACTAGGGTTGTGAAATGAAACCAAATAGAGGTAGGTCAGGGGACCAGACCACCAAGACAGGAAGTAATTAATGTGCAGAGATCCAAGGTGGTTCAGTAAAGACTAATAAAGAATTGTTGACAAAATAGGACATTCAGGAAATGTAGCTACATCAGCTGTTGAGAACAAAAAGACACAGATACAAAGCCAAGAAATGGCTAACTACTTCCAGGAACTCTGAAACAAATATTGCAACAAAAGTGACACCTCAGAGCATAACAAT